AATATTCAGGACTGATTTCCTTTAAGATGTACTGTTTGGATCTCCTTGCAGTCCAAGGGACTGTCAAGAGTCTTCTCCAACAGCAGAGTTCAAAAGCATCATTTCCTCAGCGCTCAACTTTCTTTATAGTCCAACTCTCACACCCATACATGACTACTGGAAAAATCATAGCTTTGACTAGATGGACCTTTGTCAGCAAAGTAATGTCTCTGCTTTTTAATATGCTGTCTAGGTTGGTCATAGCTTTTCTTCCAAGGATCAAGAATCTTAATTTAATGGCTTGAGTCACCATCTGCAGTGATTTTGGAGACCCCCAAAATAGTATCTCACTGTTTCCATTGTTTCCCCATCTATTTGCCATAAAGTGATGAGACCAGATGCCATGATCTTCGTTTTTTGAATGTTGAGTTTTAAGCCAGCTTTTTCACTCTCCTCTTTCACTTTCATCATGAGGCTCTTTAGTTCTTCTTCACTTTCTGCCATAAGGGTGATGCCATCTGTGTATCTGATGTTATTGATATCTCTCCCTGCAATCTTGAAGCTTGTGCTTCATCCAGCCTGGCATTTTGCACGATGTAGTCTGCATAGACGTTAAATAAGCAGGGTGGCAATATACAGCCTTGTCATACTCCTTTCCCAATTTGGAACCAGTCCTCTGTTCCATGTCTGGTTCTAACTGTTCCTTCCTGACCTGCATACGTATTTGTCAGGGGGCAAATGGTATTCCCATCTCTTGAAGAATTTTTCCACAGTTTGTTGTGATCCACACAGTCAAAGGCTTTGGCATAGTCAATAAAGCAGAAGTAGGTGTTTTTCTGGAACTCTCTTGCTTTTTCGATGATCCAACAGTTGTTGGCAATTTGATCTCTGGTTCCCCTGGCTTTTCTAAAACCAGCTTGAACATATGGAAGTCCACAGTTCATGTACTATTGAAACCTGGCTTGGAGAATTTTGAGCATTACGTTGCTAGCATGTGAGATGAGTACAATCGTGCGGTAGTTTGAACATTCTTTGGCATTGCCTTTCTTTGGGATTGGAATGAAAACTGGCCTTTTCCAGTCCTGTGGCCACTGCTGAGTTTTCCCAATTTGCTGGCATGTTGGGTACAGCACTTTCACAGCATCATCTTTCAGGATTTGAAATAGCTCAACTGGAATTCCATCACCTCCACTAGCTTTGTTCAAAGTGATGCTTCCTAAGGCCCACTTGACTTCGTATTCCAGGATGTCTGGCTGTAAGTGAGTGATCACACCATCATGGTTATCTGGGTCATGAAGATCTTTTTTGTATAGTTCTTCTGTGTATTCTTGCCACCTATTCTTAATATCATCTGTTTCTGTTAGGTCCATACCATTTCTGTCCTTTATTGTGCCCATCTTTGAATGAAATGTTCCCTTGGTATCTCTAATTTTCTTGAAGAGATCTCTAGTCTTTCCCACTCTATTGCTTTCCTCTATTTCTTTGCATTGATCACTGAGGAAGTCTTTCTTATCCCTCCTTGCTATTTTTTGGAGCTCAACATTCAAATGGGTATATCTTCCCTTTTGTTTAGCTTCTCTTCTTTTCTCAACTCTTTCTAAAGCCTCCTCAGACAACCATTTTGCCTTTTTGTCTTTTTTTTTCCTTGGGGATGATGTTGATCACTGCCTGTGTACAATGTCATAAACCTCCATACATAGTTCTTCAGGCAGTCTATCAGATCTAATCCCTTGAATCTATTTGTCACTTCCATGGTATAATCATCAGGGATTTGATTTAGATCATACCTGAATGGCCTAGTGGTTTCCTCTACTTTATTCAATTTAAGTCTGAATTTTACAATAAGGAGTTCATGATCTGAGCCACAATAAGCTCCTGGGTTTTTTCTTTTTTCTTCCCTGACTGTATAGAGCTTCTTGGTTTTTGGTTGCAAAGAATATAATCAATCTAATTTCAGTATGGACCATCTGGTGATATCCATGTGTAGAGTCTTCTCTTGTGTTGTTTGAAGAGGGTGTTTGCTATGACCAGTGCGTTCTCTTGGCAAAACTCTGTTAGCCTTTGCCCTGCTTCATTTTGTTTTCCAAGGGCAAATTTGCCTGTTACTCCAGGTATCTCTTGACTTTCTTCTTTTGCATTCCAGTCCCCTATGATGAAAAGGCCATCTTTTGGGGGCAAGTTACTACATAGATGGCAGTAAATGTGTTACATGTAATGATAGTTTAGTTATAGATTCACTTCACATTTGGTCTTTTCTCCCAGAAAAGACTTTGAGCTTCTCATTTTGGGGGATTGTGGCACTTATTTCTCAGACCCTGTCAATGCTTCTGGTCAAAGGTGGAGGAATAGTGGTGGAGACAGCTTAGTCTGGTCTTTCGATTCCCTTACTTGGGGCCATTGACCTTCTCTGTGGCTAATTAACTTTCAGATGTCATGTTGCCCCCCAAGCTGGATAGAAAAGAAGTAATCTCGTTTAAATGCCGATTAGACATCAGGAAACCTTGGGTGGAGACTTGACTCTGCCACTAATTTTCATGACCTTTGGCAAGCCAATTAGGTGCTCTGTGACATTGATTTTCTCTGTGTCTGGTTAGTTACCTTGCTACATTCCCTTCAAATTTAAATCAACTTTTTTTTGACAATGCCATGCTCCCTTCTTGAGGTGAGACCAGGGACAAAATTAACTACCATATGATCCAGCTATCCCTTTTCTGAGTATTCATACAAAAAAATATGAAAACACTAAATTGAAAAGATATATGTAGCCCTTTGTTCATGGCAACATTATTTACAATAGCAAAGATATGGAAACAACCTTAGTGGTGACAATCAATAGATGAATGGATAAAGATGATGGTGTGTGTGTGTGTGTGTGTGTGTGTGTGTGTGTGTGTATTGTGTGTGTATATATATACACGAGCCATTAAAAAGATAAAGACATGTATCATACAGTTTCACTCATTACTGGATTTTAAAAACCAAACAAACAAACATAATAAATAAAGAAACAAACCAAAAGCAAACACCTAGATACAGAGAGCAGAGTAGTGGTCACCAGAGGGTAACCACTGAGGGGGAGGAGAAAATGGGTAAAGAGGATCAACTACACTGTTACCAAAACTCAGGTTTGCTGCTCACTTCTCGAAAGCCAATACTCAAGAGGTAAGGTTGGTGGAAATGAAAGTTTGCTTTATTCCAGTCTGTAGCTGGGGGAGAAGGCAGACTCAGGTCCAAAGGCCAACTCCCCCCTGACAATCTGTAGGCAGTAGCTTTTAAGAGGGAGTTTCAAGGTGTATAGTGAGAGGGAGGGGGACATGTAGAAATAGCCCAGTCGGCTCTGACAGTCATCTTGAAATTGATCATGCAGTGGTCTATCAATATCATCTTGATTGTTCTAAGTACAGTTAATCTTCAGTTTCAGAGTTGGTTTGTCCCATTTTCTTGAGGCCAGTTCTCAGAATTGTGGCAGCTTATGTCATGGCTACAGTCTGGACATCATGCAGTTAACTCTTTTCACCTGGTGGGGGATTCAGTATCTACAAAACAGTTCAAAGGAGATGTCTCAGGATATTATCTATAGATTTTGAAGAGGAATAAAGGTCCTTGACTTTGTTTATTGACTATTATTATTCAGTCTGGCTTGACTGCTTTCCTTTACTTCTGCTTTTTCTCACTTCTCTGATTAAATTTATTCTTTGACTAAAGGATTTCTATAGACAAAAAGCAGGCAGAGGACATGGGGTATGTGTGTGTGTGTGTGTGTGTGTGCGCATGCTCGTGCGTGCACGTGTGTATGGTGGGGGGGCGGTGGGGAGTGTGGGGAGTTCTGTCCTAGGAAGGCCTGATAGGCTCCTGCTCTGTTTCAATATGGTGGTAAATGGAAGGTAAATTTTTGGTGCTGAGCATGTTACTGTGTATTCAGAAGTGGAAATTCCATGTCATACAATTGAAACTTATATAATGTTATGAACTAATGTTACTTCAACAAAAAATACATTAGGGGGACCGGGATGGGGAATACATGTAAATCCATGGCTAATTCATTTCAATGTATGACAAAAACCACTGCAATGCTGTAAAGTAATTAGCCTCCAACTAATAAAAATAAATGGAAAAAAATAAATTAACTTTGTGATTTCAAAAAAAAAAAAAACAAAAAATACATTAGTTTTTTTTTAATTCATTGAAATTTGGTTGAAATGATGAAAGGGATTTATCAGTATTATTTTTCTGGTATGTAATATTTCATATTCATTTCCTATGGCTCTCTATTTTTCAGTCACAAAATGCTTTAATTTTCAGAATAAATACAAAAAAAGTGATCTATCTTTTTAAAAATTTGCTTTTTACACATGGTTTCTTGGTTTAGTGGGTCTGAATGCAGTAGAAAGCCTTAGTTTACTCAGATCATCCTAGGAAGGTTGCCCTTTTAAAGTCTTTTATGGTTGCCTTAAATAAGCATTTTCTTTTCTGTATTCATTCTTTAGAGGCTTGGTGTGTTTTTGGCAGCATTTATTAAACTTCCAGCTCCTGTTACTAACATTTCTGCAATCCTTTGTCCTGATTGATGCCATTTTAACTTTATATGTTCTTTATTATTAAGGAATTTTAATAATGTTAGGAAGTCTAAAATCTTTTCTCTCTCTCTTCTTGGAAGTTATTGCCACTGCTGAGATCTGAGCTATACAGTTTTTAATGACTCTGTCCCTACTGACATGAGCTGGCCTTTGATGAAATGGGGAGAGGGGATTTCAGTTCTTATGCTACAGAGTGCAGTCATATTGGAATACTACAGTTTTGCTGACAATTAGGAAATTAACAGGACTTGTGGACTTGTGTGGGCCTAAAGGCCAAACAAAGACTTTAAAGTCTCAAAGACAAAGGAGATTCCGAGTAACCCAGAACCTAGGGACCTTGATCACTCACTGGACACCAGGTATGTCAATCCTCACTTCTCAGCAAATGAGCTTAGGGATCGCTGATGACGAAAGCACTCCTTTGTTGACACTGCAAGGTTCAGCTCCCATCACCCGCCCCTCTGATTCTTTCATAACTTGTCCACCGCCACCTTGGCCCCAGTCTCTGTGAGGTCTACCTGTCGCGGGGCCCCCTCAGGCACCTTTTTATACTTCTGTTACTTGCTCAACCGACTTCTCTGTCACCTCACCACCTCCCTGTAGCCCCCGCTGCCAACGGCGTCCAGTCAGTGGCAGTTACGTTGGTGGCCGCCATCTTCACCACAGTCCTTTCTGCACTTGATCACAACTTGGGTCCAAGCAGGGACAAGTGGGTTCTTCCCGCTATGTCACCCACGCAGGAGCAAGACCCAGCTCATAGAAGCCAGAATGTGGTTGATGGTGGAGAGGACTGTGATCCTGGACTCACTGGCATCCCTGTGATTCCCCTTGCCGAAGGGTCAGATGAGGTCACAGGGACTGCTGCCTTTCTGGCTTCACAGGCAGTCGCCAGCGCTCTTTTGGAGGAGAGTGCTAGGCAGCAGGTCACTCAGCCCACAATCGAGGAGAACAGGGACATCCCATCAGCAGAGCAAGAGGAGGACCTGGAGGAGGGTGAAGAGGAGGAGGAAGAAGAGAAGCTGGACTATGACAGCATGGAGAAAGATGAATACGAGGAGAAAGACCATGATGATGAGGTACAGGAGGAGGGCACAGAAAGCATCGTAGGGGCCCATGAGTTACCCATGGCAGGGTTTTGATCCCTGTTTCAGGATCTGGTCCATTCCCTTCTATGCAGTATCATTATAATAACCACGATTTGGTTCACTCTCATTCAGGCCGCATAATGGTCAAGTGTGGCTCTCAAGAGCTTGAGGATCTGGGAGAGGGACCCATATCTCATGAGGGCAAGGGTCCGGCAGAGGGAGCAGAGAACTAGGGTGGGAGGGGTAAGTAAGTACCTGATAGAGGGAACCGCCCCCTAAGTGCCCGAGGAACTTGCAGATGGGACAGCATGCTAGAACGTAGAGGAACCTGAGAAGCCCAAGGCTCAGGAGGGCAATTCCCTGACTGATGCAGATGTATTCTGTGCACTAGAGGGGCCTATGAACCGAGGAGACTGAAACCCGCAGGAGGCAGTCGATTCCTGAGGCCCTTGTGGCCCCTGTTGGGGCATCGGGCTCAAAGGCAGGCCGCACTCAGCACTGGCCTCTAGCGGTTAAGCAGAGGGTCAAAGCTCTCAAAAACCTCCAGGCACAATTTGCACAAGTGGAATCCCAATTATATGAAGACCTTTATGGTTTCGAACAAAAGTATGCTGTCTTCTACCAACCTCTGTTTGATAAGAGAGCTGACATCATCAATGCAATTCATGAGCCCACAGAAGGTGAATGTCAGTGGCAAGTACCTGTTCCAGAAGGAGCTTGAGAGGAGATGGAAAGAAAGCCTGAAAGGAAGGGGCAAACAAAGGCCATCCCTTGCTTTTGGTTGATGGCCTTTAAAGATTTTCCACAGCATGACCCAGGGAAATGATGAACTTGTACCAGAGCACCTGAAAGATGTAAAAATAAAGTTCTCAGGGGTCTGGAAACCAATGAGCTTCACCCTAAGAATTCCTCTATAAGTCAAACGAATACTTTTTCAACAAAGTTCTGATGAACACATACCAAATGCGGTCAGACCCATATGATTCTGATCCCTTCTTCTCCAAAGGGCCAGAAATAATCAGCAGCACAGGGTGTGAGATCTACTGGAAAGATGGTAAAGACCTCACCATGAAAACCCTGAAGCTGCAGAAATGTGAGGGCCCTGGAGGTGTCACACCAACCACTAGAAAGGTGCCTAGTTAGTTTTTCTTCACCTACTTCTCTCCTCCTGAGAGTAGAATGCTTGATGTGATTGTGTCACTACTGATTGTAAATTGGGTTATTTTTTCCATGAAGTCTGGTCCCAAAGTCCATATTGTTCTTCATGAAAGAAGCTAGTAATTATCAATATGAAAACTCTAATGAAGAGGTCCAAGAACTTGAAGGCAAGGAGGGAAAAAAGATGAAAATGAAGAACCATAAAAAGAACCTGGAAAGGATCCAAATCCAATAGAGTGCAGCCTGGGAGAGTCCAGGTTGAGTGTGATCCAACCATTTCTGCCATACACATGTTATATTCTTAAATTTTCTTATCAAGAAACAATAATAAATTGTTTAAAAATTATTTTTATAAATCAGTTTTAGGGTTAATAATTTGAATATTCACTAGGTAGTATAGAATGCAGCACATTCTGAATTATACATCTTTCATAGGTACACATTCTTTGAGCTGTAATGATAAGACTTAACATAGCTGAGAAATTTATCAGACCTGGTAACTGAGACCATATTTTTTAGAACACAGTTGCCAGAACTAAGTAGCAAAAGTGACCGGAATATTCATTAGAGATGGGACTTTGTCATTTGGTGGCCACTAAGTACTTTCTCTTATACTAACAAGGACACAATGCCTTTGATAATGTGACTACCTAAAAATTGCAAAAAGATAAGAATTTCAAGTAAGATCTCATTTAATGACTTATACCTAAGTGTTTATTTAAACTTTTGTTTTCATGTGTCAGGCAAAAGAAAATTAGTTATATTAAGATTTTACTTATCATTGAATTATTAATTTAACTTACATCTCTTCTATCATTTTTCTTCCTTTTTTTTTTCTTTCTCCTTTTATAGATATTGACTATGAGGGCCTGGGATATTAAGAGATTATGGTTTATGGAAAGAGCACACTATTTGAAGGTGGAACGACATGTTTATATCCCTGACTGATGTCCTCCTTTCCCCCACCTCACCAGCCAAAAAAAAAATTTTAGCATTTGACAAGTCAAAGATGAGATTGGTGTGATCAGTTGATTGAACACATGTTCAGTTGATGGACAAACACCCTGATACCCAAGGGTCTGGTTTACAAGAGAAAAGTTGTGTTTTCTCTTGTCGAGACAACAAATATATACAGGATTGACTATTATTAGATTTAGAAAGTCACTGGTGTATTTTAATTGTGTTCAATTGTTCTTTTATTTCTTCCTACAGTTTGAAGGCATAGAAAGACTTGGATGAAAGAGAAACAGTGGATTCATTCATCACAGATTTGAGATTTTCTGATTTTTAGTAGTCCATGGGAAATTTATCAAGGCTGATTTGTTCCAAAATTCTTCACCCAAAAAGTAACATCACTGATATCTAATTTTTCTGTTTTCTCTGATATGTCTGACAGAATTTGTTCAAGTTGAAATTAAAAGGCTTTTTAAAAATGAATAAGCTTCAAGATTTTTTTATATAAATAACCCTGATTCAAATCTATCTTTGTATCTTTCTGTTCTGGCCCACCTTACTGTCATTGAAAGGGATCACCTTTCAACCGTGTTTTAAGTTCTTTTATTGTGTCCTCTAAGAAATGGGCTTTCTAGATGGCACTAGTGGTAAAGAACCCGCCTACCAATGCAGGAGACAGAAGAGACACGGGTTCAATTTCTGAGGAACATTCATGGAGAAGGAAATGGCAACCCACTCCAGTATTCTTGCCTGGAAAATTCCACAGAGGAGCCTGGCGGGCTACAGTCCATGGAGAAGCAAAGAGTCAGGCATGACTGAGCTCACACACACACACACATGGCCAATTGAAACATCAAGTTAAAAACAACTTACGTAAAGAGGGATACATGTCCAGGCCCTACTGTATTTTATTGAAAGAACCTGATGAATGACTTAGCTTATCTTAAGACCAGATAGTACTGGGCTGTTAGTGGGCTGACGTAGTATAGTAGCATCAGCATCATTTGGGAACTTGTTAGAAATACAAATTCTCTGGCCCCATTCCAGACATATTTTACAAGCCCTTTCGGTGATTCTGAAGCACACTAAAGTTTGAAAAACACTGGTTTAGGCTTTATCTATGTTATGACTAGTCTTACTTCACTGACTTGAGACTGTTTCAAGTAAATTGAATAGGACGATAAAGGATGAACTGGGAAAGAGACTAGAATTCTCAGGGATGCAGACACAAGGAAAGATCAGGTTCAAAGACTGGGTAGTAGCAGTGAAAAAAATAGATAAGGGAAAATTCCAGTCTCAGAAGTATACAAATGTTAAGATGCCTTGTATACAAGATCTAGAGACATTCAAAACAATCACCATAAATTGATCACGGGTGAATATACATATGGGCTTCCCTTGTGGCTGAGGTGGTAAAGAATCTGCCTGCAATGCAGGAGAGATCCAAGTTCGATCCCTGGGTGGGGAAGATCACCTGGAAAAGGGAATGGCCACCAACTCCAGTATTCTTGCCTGGAGAATCCCATGGACAGAAGAGCCTGGTGGGCTACAGTCCATGAGGTCTCAAAGAGTCAGACGTAACTGAGTGACACACACACACACACACACACACACACACGTAATCAAAGGAATGCTTAAGAATTATGCACACATATGTAGCAGACAATAAGTCATGAGAATTATAAACAACTTATTTAGGATAGTGGCTACGTCTAGTGGAGAGAGAGTGAATAAAGTTTAATTGGGGAGGGTAACATGGTGGGCTTCAACTCTGCAAACAGCCAAGAATCCCATGTGTGTGGTTAAATGGATGTGCGTACTCAGGACATTTGCCTCTCAACCTCAGACCATGCTCCATGTATCAGGGGCCCTGAATTTGCTCCTCATGTAGACCTAAGTCCTAAGCCCAAAGAGGCCTATATAGTCCTCTTCAGAGGGCCTGTGCTTCTGAGACTTCAGATCACGGCCAAAATATATACCCCCAGGACTGAGAGGTAGCTTAGAAATAAGGGCTATAGGCAGGGAACAGAGGACAAGTTAGTTACATTATCTACAAATATGCAAGTGAAGCCTCTTGAGGTGAGGAATGGCACTCAGTGAGTGTAGAGAAGGGATAGAGGAGAGACTGGAGCCTGGGAAGAGGATCATGGGTCTAGGGTGGTGGATTCATTCTTCCCACATCACTGGAAAATAATGTAGAGGAGTCCAAGTATGGTGGACAGGCTAAAAGCTGGCCCCCAATAATCCCCACCTTCTGGTGTTCACATTCTTGGGTAATCCCTTGACCTGGACTTTGACAGGACTAATGACTTCCTTCTAACCAATGGAATGTAGAAAGGTGAAGATATACATGACTATAGATGAGAGATCTTTTCTGTGGCAATTTGTTATGTAACAATAGAAAGTTAATACACTGGATTTAGCACAGGGCAGCCCTGGAAACAGGTATCTAGATGTGTGATCTTGAGTATCACCAAACCATTCCTGATATATGCCTGTTACTGACAGATTTGTGTTTTTTTTTTAAGTTTTAGTTGGAGTGTAGTTGATTCACAACGTAGTGTTAGTCTCTGCTGTACAGCAAAGTGAATCAGATATGCATATACATGTATCCACTTTTTTTTAGATTCTTTTCTTGTATAGGTCATTACAGAATATTGAGTAGAGTACCCTATGCTGTACAGTAGGTTCTTATTAATTATATTTAATAACTAGTGGAGTTGTGTGTATATGTCAATCTCAATCTCCCATTTATCCCTCCCCCACTTCCTGGTAATCTTCCTGATTGTTTTCTATGTCTACACCTCTATTTCTGACAAGTTTGTTTTTAAATTTCTTCAATCAATTATACAAGGAAAAACATTGAAATAGACCAACTATTCAAATGCAAATGTAACCATTCAGGTTAATGTGAAGATATTTTATTTAACACTCTACTAGTTGATTTAAACCTTTTACATATTTTACATGCCTTTCACATATGGCATACGTATGTGTGTGTGTGTGTGTGTGTGTGTGTGTTTGTGTGTGTGTGTGTGTATGTGTACTCAGTTGCTTAGTCATGTCTGGCTCTTTGTGGCCCCATGAACTGTAGTCCGCCAGGCTCCTCCATTCTTGGGATATCCCAGACAAGAATATTGGAGTGGGTTGCCACTTTCTTCTCCAGGGGATCTTTCTGACCCAGGGATTGAACCCACATCTCCTGAATTGTAGGCAGATTTTTTACCACTATGCCACCTTGGAAGCTCCCATAGAATATAGACCCCCAACTAAACTCTTGACCTAACTAACATATTTCATATGTTGCAGGTGGTCCAGTTTAAATATTTGATCTGTTACCCTTTCGCCATCCTCACTCCCTGTCATGCTTTGTTACCTAGGCACAGTAACAGTGTTGACCTTGCTTTGGAAATAGTCTCTGCAGCTGGATAGTCCATCATTCACAGTGCTGGATGGACCTATGGATCTGGTCCCTGGGTAAGGCTAAAGTATAACCACCAACCATCTTGCCCACTCCCATTCCCACACCCAACCACATACACCATCTCTCCCATTCATATCTCACTTTCTTCAAACATATTCCATGTACAAATCCTCTTAGTCAGAACCAAATAGTCACCTTGAGGCTACAGTCATCAGCTTGTTCATACATACCTATATGGAGCCCATTTAGGATCATACAGAACAATCCTTCTTAAGAACATTTTGCTTCTCTGACAACCTTCCATTCTGACCTGTCAATATCCTATTTGATTTCTCTCTGTTACTGATAGATTGCAATGAGCTACAAAATAGTTGAGAGTCTTCACTCCCTGAATATTTTCTGTTTTTATAGTGTAGTTTTTCACAGAGCAAAATACCAAGAAAGCTTCAAAGAGCCTGGAAACTTGTCAAAATGTGCCTCTGTGAATTTAGAAATTCTTAACCTCTTCTTTCTGCAAAAGTTATACTATTCATTTTGGAAAATAAAATATTAATGCAGGAATTGTCAGAGTGAGAATAACTTTATCTTGGTCCCCTCTAAGAAAAAAAACAAAGGGGTAAGAGGAATAGCAGCTAGCATGTTACAATTATCTTGGGGAAGGGTATCAACCCAAATAAACTATTTGTTATGGACATTTGAAGGAAATATAGGCAAATTGCCAGTTTGGGCTTCCCTGATAGTGCAGTTGGTAAAGAATCTGCCTGCAATGCAGGAGACTCGGCTTCGATTCCTGGGTCAAGAAGATCCGCTGGAGAAGGGATAGGCTACCCACTCCAGTATTCTTGGGCTTCCCTTGTGGCTCAGTTGGTAAAGAGTCTGCCTGCAATGTGGAAGACCTGGGTTCAATACCTGGGTTGGGAAGATCCCCTGGAGAAGAGAAAGTCTACCCACTCCAATATTCTGGCCTGGAGAATTCCATGGACTATACAGTTGCAAAGTCAGACATGATTGGGAGAATTTCACTTTCACTTTCATCACTTATAAAAGAATGAAAAGTGCTCCACACAGCATCCTGACATGCCACAGTCACAGCAAATTCCACTATATCTGCTTGACTGTACTGACCAAGTGGAAGAGCACCTTACATGGCAACCTGGGTATACTGCAAAGCTTTTCCTCATTCTGGACCCTACTCAAACATGATAGCCTTTTAGTGTACTCAGTAAATGGGTAGAATTATTAATAGTGCTCCCAAGTAAGATATATGATACCTTCAAAACCAAAAGAAGCTCATTAGTAGGGGCCAGATACATCAACGTGTCCTTCCTCTTGTTAGAATATTTTAATGTTCTGTAGACCACTAACCCCTTAGAAAATTCACCAAGGAAGCCAGTCCCTGTATTTTTATGGGGTTCATTTCCCATTCTCTGGAATACATTCATCTCAACCAGGTGTCTAGGATTGCTGTTATAACCTGCTCATCCAGTTCAATCAGCATGGGCTTCCCAGGTGGCTCAGCGGTAAAGAATCTGCCTGCAATGCAGAAGATCCAGGTTCCATTCCTGAGTCAGAAAGATTCCCCTGAAGTCAGAAATGGCACCCTACTCCAGTATTCTTGCCTGGAAAATTCAATGGACAGAGGATATTGGTGGCCTACAGTCCTTGGGGCCGCAAAGAGTCGGACACGACTGAGCACACACATCCATGTAATGGGATGGTGTAATTTCCCATAGTATGGAGAGATGATCAAGATCCCCAAGGATTAATTTTTGACACAAGTCTAGAGAATTGATACAGCCTGGTGAAGGTAACTTGCTGGCCCTGACAGCTATAATCAAACTGCTGCATACAGTCTTTATTTCCAAATACAGGGGAGAAAGTACTTCACACCAGATGCCAGGGGATATGTTGCTTTTCTGCAGCAAAGAAATGACATCTTAAATAATATCTACAATTGAGTTCATCATTTGACTGCTTTTATAATAATCCAGTTATTCTTGAAAATCCATCTTTCTCTTGTTCAGGCCAAATAAGA